GAGGGGCTGGGCCTCCCCCGCCTCCGGCACGTGGGTCCCTTCCTGTCAACACCGCGCCGCCGCGGCCTTCACCCCGCCGCCTTCCGCGGGCCTGCGTGGGGAGCTCGACTGCTGATGCTTCCCCTCCGCTTACGGCAAGAGGCCTCTTTCAAGGGAAAAAACTCGTTTCCCTGTCTGAGGATTGATCCATTTTATTTTACCTTGACGCTTATTTGCGCTTGTATTTAACGGTGAAGCTGATGAGGCTATTAAGTCAAGCTTGAAGAGGGGTAGATGCCTCCACCGTTATGGAGGTAGCGAGCTGGGAATGTGGAATGAGTAATGGTCATCCTGAAGAGATCCTGCACAGTGTAGTCTGTCTGGTGATTTCAGTAGTAAGTTTCTGTGTAGGAAGCTGTGTCTTGTTAGCAGTGACTGTCGATGTTTTCTTTATTTTCCTCCATTTCTTCTTATCTTGCACTGGATATGTATGTCTTGCACAGCTTTTCCAAGAGGGGAAAACTTTTTTTTTCCTTTTATTAATTTCTTTAAACCATACACTCAGCTTCTAATGCTGCTTCTGATCTAGTGACTACAAGCTAGTAGTCTTATTTTCTTGATAGGAGTGAAATATCTTTCTAAATACCTACTGAGGGTCATTAAGACCAGAAACGGATGTATGAGGCAATGTGTTTCTCTGCCGTCCTTCTCTTTAATTGTTTCATTCTTAGTAGAGTCAGCAGTAACACTTCTTCTTGACCAACTTTTAAGCTCTAGGGGGTTTTGCATTAATTGTCTTGGCTTGGTGTGAGATACAGAATCCTTTTGAGCTGTTCCCTTAAAGTCTGGATTCCTGAAGGAAAAACACAATGGTGTAGAAAACACAAACTTCATCTTGGGAGTGAGTATACCTGCAGTCAGGTATGTGTACGGTACAGGGATCACTGTATGAAATAATTTTCTTTTGAGACCTCTTGGATGTATATTTTGAAGCTCTGTAAGTTGAAAAGTTTGTATGGGACTACTGATACCCTGAAGATTACCAGGGGTTTATATAGAGCTTGAAAGACGAGTAAATTCAAAATTTAATTTTGAAACTGTATTTATTTTAAAGACATCCTATCTATCTATCTTTTCCTGGATGCCAGTAATGGTTCTTGTTATCTGAACAGATGAAAGCAGCCTTTAAAAGGCATAGCTTTTTGAAGTGGGATATATGGAATGAGGATTGCAAATCTCCCACACAGGAGGCACAGGGTTGCAGAACAAGGTGGTAATTTTTGATAGGGTAAGAAGCAATATTTGCTTTGTTAGTGTTTAATGTTTGATCTCATTATTAAGCTTTAATAATTAAGGAAAAAAATGGAAAATAAATAGATCTTTCTCTTAATAAGATTGTTGATTACTTTTGAATCACAGGACAGTGTTTCCACTTGCTTAAATTTATGATTCTAGAATTTCATATTGTTGATATCTACCTCGGGCTGAATTACATAACATTGATTTAGCTTCAGGTACTTCAACCACATTTCCCAACTTAAAACTAACATCAGCTTCTTTTGAGAACAAGGCTGGAGGAGGGAAGGTCTTTCTGCCTTTAAAAAGAATTAAATCATCAGGTTACCTTTTCTTTGAACTGTTTTCATGCTTGTGTACAAAAATGCTGGGCTTTGAAGTTTGGCAGAGAATTGCATTTTATTATCCCTATGAAATTACATCTAAATTTTGAAATGGTTGTTACAAACTGTAAAAATTAGTTTATGTGTCATTAATAACAACTTTGTGAAAAATGTTGCTGTTTTCAAAAGGACTTAATCTCCAAATATTCTGTTTTTCACATCTTTGTCCCAGGATCTGGCAGGTTTGTCCTAGTCAGGCTCTGAGTTTACAGATGATGCCTGAGATGTTCCAGGTCAAGAGACAAACAGTTGGCTGGAGTGTAGGAAATACAATGGCAAAGAGGAAATGAAGTCATAGATCAGATCATGACATCTGGTGAAAGCTAGGACTGGACTTGGTGGAGGACTGGTGCTTAGACTATTTGTGGAAGAGGAGGAAGAAGCTGGAACTGTGTGAGAAGCACAGGGGAAAGAGCAGTAGTAGATGTGGATCTCCTAAAGAACTGGATGAGAAAACTGGACAAAGAGATGAGAGATGGGGAGTGAGGTCAGATCTTGTGCCCAGAGGTGGCGAAGAGGAACTGAAACTAGTTTGGTGAACAGGGGCAGAAAAGTGAGAAAACCCCCAAGGAATTAAAAGGGGGGATAAGGAGAGAATGGAGAGGCATTTGAAATGAAAATATGAAAATTGCATTTCACGGTGTCATAAAAAACAAGTGGTATGAATTTAAGGGGGTTAAACTGACTGGGATCAAACAGTTGGAGTGAGAATTCAGAGTAAGGAAGTAACAAGACTGGTATGGGAAACACTAGGTAGAAGGCAGATGAGCTGGAAGAGCACGTGTCTACAATCACAGACTAAAACGCTGATCATTCTAACTGCTGAGAGACACCAGATGATAAAACTTACTGGTTTTGCTTCTTCAGATGTTATGCAGCAAAGGAAATGTCCAGGTGTTTCTGTTCCGAAGCAATTAGGAACATGAGCAATAAAATCCACGTGAGGGAATTTTGCTGAGTTTTTGGTTTCTTCTTTGACTTGGAGAGCTACACAGGTGTAAAATCTAACAGCAGCAGTAGCAGTTTCAGGAAATGCCAGAATGAAAGCTGATTGAACAGCCTCACTTATCCCCATCGCGCAATCCTTTATGAATGTCCGTGGTTACATATTAACAGTATATTTTGCCAAAGAATCTTTTCACTGCACGTTAGTTAATGTGTAACGAGTGTATCTAGTTAAATATTTGTTTTTACCTCATTTTTTGTGGCATAACATGTATAGCAAACAAGTTGAAGTGCTTGAAACAAAACCATTTGATGGTGGTGTTTTGTTGTTGTTCCCTCCTCTCCCTGAAGTTAAGCTCATCATACAAATGGCGATAGTACGTAAGTTAGTATGCATTTCACCTTAGACTCACTTCGTGTGTGGAGACCCGCGTCACGCAAGCTTGGGTTGAAAGTACCTTCTGCTCTGAGTACCTTTTTTCAGAAGGCAATGAAATAATACAAGGCACTTTTCAAAGAGTTATACAGGACTTTACATTTAAAACCAAAATTTTCTTTAAGTTGCAGTTGTGGTTCTCCCAGCACCCTGGTATGGCAGACCAAGGGTGGTAGTCATTTAAACCTTACAGTGCAGGTGGGTCAGTAGAATTTCGTTTTTCAGGATATTGTGTGATTGCTTTGGTGCTGTACTTTGTTTTCCTACAGGCCTCTGCAAAAGGCATTACATCTTTCGTGCTAAACAGTTGGAAAAAAGAAAATATTAAACCCAGACAGGAACCTAAATTCTGGTGTTTCCTAACATTTACATGTTTGGCATAATAAATTGAAGAAAGTATGTAATGGGGTTGTGTGTATTGAATAGACTGGGGATGTTTTAACATTTAGAAATCATCACTTCTGCAATTTTTGTAGAACCACAGGCAAAGAGCGTTAAAGGACACTTACAGCGTCTAATTTACTTTTTCCTCTCTAGGTAATACATGCTTTGCCTGACTTTGGTGATCTCTGATGATGGAGATTATATATCATAGCTCGATACTGCTCGAGATGTACTACTAATACACTTTAACATTTTATTTCATAACATCTAACTTCAATCTTTGCTCTATTTTAAACCTATTTCTTCTGTCTACTATTAGTTTGGCAAATAGATCTTTTTTTCTTGCCAGGCAGCTTTTTGCCTATTGAAGATGAAGAGTTGCTTACTTTAAAGTTTCCCTATTCCAGCCTAAATGATATGGGAAGAGAGTAGGGAAAAATTAAGCCTAATGTTTAGCTATCATACGTATTAATTTATTTCTTTTCTAGGGATTCCTTTTGGAAAATGCCGAACCGGAAGTTTGCTGATGGTGAGGTGGTGATGGGCCGTTGGCCAGGAAGTGTCCTGTACTATGAAGTAACAGTGGCTGGTTACAATGATGTTTCTCATTTTTATACTGTTAAGTACAAAGATGGGACTGAACTTGAATTGAAAGAAAGTGATATAAGGGTAAGTATGTGTTTGCGTAATTATTAGTATTTCTAATGGGACATTATATTGATTTTGTGGTGTAGGTAAAAAACCTTATAATTGGATAGTTGCCTTGCAAGTTTTCTTTAACTGTGTTGTCAAGGAATTGTTACTAAGTAATAGCGCTCTCCTACATGACATCTCAAATAGAAGTTCAGAATGCTGACCCTATTTTTAAAGAAGTGTGATTGTTTATGTTGAAAAAATAATATGTTTGGAGAAAAACAAGTCCACTCAAGAACTCTATAGCATGATTGTTCATGAAAAAATAGGTTTTGGGGTAGCTTAAAAAGCTACTATTCAGAAGGTTGATGCTAATTTGACTTTTTTCCACTTATAAATAAGAAAATTTGAAAACAGAACTAAGCATTTAGTTAAGGATCACTGTAAGTATAAATAGTGCATGCCCTTTAAGCACTTACTTAAAATATCTGTGAATAGCTGTTTCATGAAACCTTTGGGGACCTAAGGTATTTTGCTCTATTTGTGACAATTAGGGACTTTTGAAAAAGGGTCATGTCATATGTGTATAAGCACAGCCTTTCCCCTTTACAAGTCTTCATAATTTCATTTTCTGTTACTAATAAAGGCATTTAAAACTCTGCATACAAGTTTCATTTCAATTTAAAAAGTGATAATGCAGGAGACAAAAAGCTATGTGAATGCTTGCTGTAGTTGATTTTTAAGGCCTGCTTTGAAACCTGTGTATGTTCAAAGCTGACTTGCACACACAAGTATGTGAACCATAGTTTCACTTTTTGGTGGCAGTACATGCCCTGTAACTGGCCCTTTCTTTTGGGACCACACGTTTCTGTCTGGAGCTAGACAAACATTTTCACTTTCACGTTTAAGACTAACTTGTTCACTTTGTGCCTGCAGGTTAGCAAACTCAAGCCTAGAAAGTACCTTTCTTTCTCATAAAGCATTTGTGCCTTTATAAAAGTTGTGGTGTGGTAATTTTATATGGGAAAATCAGCATTGTAGACTTCATGTAGAAATAAGAGTGCTTTTGGGTAAAACTGTTTGTGAAATGAGATAACACATCTAATGATTTAGCAGACGAGGTTTTTTAATGTTGATTTGAGATGTGTCTCCTTAAACAGATCATTGCATCTTGATATGTCAAATATATTAATAAAGCTAAGTAATTAAGCTTTAAGAGATGGCTATAATTTTATTTACTTGTGCAGAGGCTTAAGAGGGTAGTACGCCTAAGAGCTTGGTGCTCACATCGCTAGCTTACATCCATATCCTGATTTCTGTGGCTTTGACAGGAATTGTCAGCAGTTGCGCTTGGGACAGGATTATTTAGGTATCACCAGCAAAATGAATATGCTGTAGCTGCTCTTTCTTAACACCCTTTGTACAGCATCTGTACAGGAAATAGAGAGTTCTGTAGCACTATATGCCAGAGTCCTCATCCCAAAAAACCCCAAGTTTCTAAAACTGTTCTTTGGAACACCTAAAATAAGATTTTGCTTTCTTCCCCTCTTTTTTTTTAGTCACAATCATCGTTCAGGTATAGGAAGAGCCAGTCGTCTTCAAGTTCTCCCTCCAGAAGAAGTAGTAGCAGGTCTCGATCTAGATCTCCTGGTCGGCCAGCAAAAGGCAGACGTCGTTCCTCTTCCCACAGCAGAGAACATAAAGATGACAAGAAGAAGACCGTTCAGGAAACCAGCTTGGCTCTACTGGTATTAGTTTTTGTTTGGTTGGTTTTTTATGTGCGTTTCTTGGATTTTCAATTTAAATAAGTTTTTGCTATTTGTGATAGGTTTGCTTTATGCATACTGGGTTTATTGTTGTAAAAGCCAGGTGTAGTTCATGTTCTCTGAACAACATAATTTCTTCTCTGCAAATAGGCTTTCCAGCTTGCAGAGTTGTGAGGAAATTATTGAAATGTAAACATAAATTGTTAAGTTCCATTTGAATTTGGTGGTGCTCTGAAGTGCTTAGAATTCAAACGCAAGTTCTTTAACATTTTAATATTGGAGTCATTGTTAGCCACATGTTCCCACCTGTGAAAAGGGGAAAAGGAAGTTGGCTTGCTTTTAAGATGTATTTGTCATTACATAGCAGGTAGGTATTAGAAATAAAATTAGTTCTGTTTTCATATACAGTTCATTAAAATAGCAATGGAAAACATGTGAAACTTCTGTGGGAGAACTGCACAATTCAAGTGTGGAGGGGGGGAACCACACATACATGGCCTTGCTGATTGATAATATTGCAGAACTGGTTTCTTTATAAAAACTATCCTGTAAGGACTAGAAAGTTGTATCAAATATCTATGTTTCAGCTGAAATTTTCCATGTAGTTGGCCTTTTTGTGAAGGTTGTATTCAGTACTAGAAACGGTTCTGGTGTTCTCTAAGTGAAAAAATCATAGAGGTGATCTCTGTTAAGAGACAAGCAGCGCTGCTTCTGCCTTGTGCACTCTTGAAATAGCTTCAAGCGATACTTTTCTGAGACACAGTCCCTTGAATTGGAAATATCTGCTGCTGGTCTACTGAAAATAGATGGGCTTTAGTTAAGTTTTAGCTAAACTAAACCAGACCAATCTAAACTAGACAGGTTTGGTGTAGTGAATTGCTACTACTGAAAGCATTCTTTGGCACTAAAATTGCTGTGGTTTTTGTTTTGCAGTGAACTACTTTGAGCTGTGTGACCCAGTGCATAGCCTGTGGATCATACGATTAGTTTAAGTAGTTTGTAACTAGTACTGTCGTGATTTAGCCCTGTCTGGCAGTTCAGTACCACCAGTCATTCTATCACTCCACTCTACACCCACCTGCCCCACCCGGCCCCGGCTAACAGTGAGGAGGGGACGGAGGGAGAACAAGAGAGGCTTGTAAAAGTTGAGATAACTGTTTAATTATATAAATGAAACTTAGGGAGTTACTGACAATACTATTGCTAATAAGTAATTAAAAAACCAGAAAAATAGAATGTATGATACAGGATCTCACCACCCGTGGACTGAAACAGCAAGGCAAAAATCCAAGCGGATCGGTTACAAACCCGTCCGTATGTGGCATCTCTCCCTTGGTGGCCCGAGGAGTCATGGGCCAACTTATCC